TGCGCCCGCGCCCTGGCCGTAGAGCCAGAGCCCGGACCCACGCCAGTGCTCGTGAGGGGTTGCCCGCCTCGGTGGGTTGGGAGAAGTTGACTGTTTTCACACATTGTGATAGCAGTTCTCTCCCCACCACGTGTTTGGCCACAGAAATTGACAACCCTCTGCGTTAACAGAGGCTGTTACGTGAGATCGATGGGAGTGATGGGGTGCCGGGGTGGCGCACTTGGTCGGAATTGGTTGGTCGCGGTCTAGGGGGTGATTATGGTTATTGCACCACCGCCGTCCAGCCTCGACACGCTTGCCATCACTCGCCAGCCGTCGCGAGGCCGACCACCACCACCATCATCACCAGACACATCCCCCCCCACACACACACATGCATCCACATCCACATCCACTTGCTCGCCATACCCACATCCCACCAACCCCAGCCAGCCAGCCGTTGATCACAAATTCTCATCACAAATTCTCCACTGATCACACAACCTCACCACCCACACCCCGCAATCAATCATCATCTACCTACACACCACCCAGTCCCAGTCCCAGCCCAAACACCCACATGCACTGGCCGTCGTCCGCGACCTGTCTGCCATCCACACATTGCCAGATGGCGCTGCCTGCTCCCTCCAGTTGCTGAAGATGAGACCCAGACACATGCGCCGAGCACAACCATGCCTCGCACATCCGCCACACAACCGTCATCGCTCTCCTGCAACCACCACGCCCGACCATCCATCCCATCAACCCCCATCACCTGCTGCTGCTCAACCATCCATGCCCACCCCTACCGTCCTCTGCAATCCAATCACCCCTCATCGCACATCAACACTCTGTCCTCCTTTATCCCGATCTCCCCCACACCTCCCCACCGCTTCGGCCAGTCCTCCTTACCGTCCTCGATCAAGCGCGGTCAGCCGGCCAGCTCTGCTTTGCTGGGCGTCGTGCTACCTCTACCTGACAACGACGTACCTTGCCAACCCCACCCATGTCCCTCGCTCGTTGTCCTCATCGCCGCCGCCCGCACACGCACCCTGGCTCACGCCCCGCGGCCGCAATCTGATCTCTGCCATCGAGGCGTTGCGCATGCCGACCCCACCCTCGCTCGCAGCCGATTACTGCTGACACCAACGCCATCGTCATCCTCGCCGACGTTACCGCTGGCATGACGACTGCCACGCCGTTCATGGGCTGGGCAAACAACAAGCCGACCACGCTCCGTCCACCACAGCCGCGCGGCAGCCTGGACACCACCACCCTGGTGGTCGATGCAACGTCGTCGTCCTTCCTCAAGAGCGCGCTGCGGTTCCAGCTCGCCATCAAGCTACCAGCGGAAGCAACAAAGCCCTGCCCTGCTCCGCCCAGACGAATGGGACATCCGGTTGCTCGACGACAGCGAGCACATGCCATCACCCCTCAACAGACTCGTCGTCGCCAGATCGCGCACACTCTGACCACATCCATGCCTCAGTCGGACCCCAGCCATCCCCTCTCCCATCGCCACACCCGAGCCGCACATGCCGCGCCAGCTCCCAGCAAGCGAGCACACAGCCCACTCACACACACGTATGCTGGACATCCTCTCCAGCCCGATCTACCACCTCACCCTCGCATCGGCCTCCCATCGCCTTCTCAGCCACCCGTCCGACGCCCCCAAAGGCCGACGCTAAAAAGCCAACCACAAACGACCCCGATCCCATGGGCCTCACCTCCCCCGAGTCGGACGACCGCAGATCCCTCGTCGGCGAGCTGGCTGCCATGAACCCCCTCTGTGCACTCAACAGAGCTGATGCCCGCCTTCCATCGCCATCTCAACTTGCATACGACTGGCCGACCGCTCCCTCACCCTCCCTCGCCCTAGATACTCTGAACACAAGCCCCCACAGCAACAGCCGTACGGAGGACCATGGCCATCAGCCCGATCCCATCTTCCATGACGCAGACAGCACCACCCTTTCACACCACTCTCTACCGCTATCCGTTGGATGAAGGCTCTAACAATACTAACAATCAAAAAGCCAGGCGCAGGCACCGAGCTGCGACGGCATCGCAGCAGGAGTGTCGAGACCGCACGATCACGCCAGCATCGTCGCTCCCCCCCTTGCCGACAATCGTGTCCATCCGTCCGCCGTGCCTCGCAGAAGACCAACTCTGACGTCGTCGCCATCGGCTTCACTCACCAAAGTCGTCATCAGCCGCCGCATCGCCCGCGACAACCTCATCAGCTGCGCCCGCGGCGCTCACGCTCGCCGTCAACAGCACCGTCAAACCTAGCAGCAGGCTCATTCTCCGATCATGCGCGCCAACCACCCGGGCACATCGACGCTTCTGTCACAACACCACACCCGCCGTGGCCTCGTCCATCTCATCCGCGTCTGCCGATCGCTGCGTCCTCGTCGAGGCTCGCCTTGGCGGCAGCTGCTCGGCCCGGATCGCCTCGATTTGGTCACCACGCTGACTCGCAAGCGCGTAGCCACTGCACCGAGCCCAACAGCTCCGTGAGATCTGGTCGGCGGTGGATCAGGCCGGAAGGGGGGGTCGCAGTTGGGGCTGTCAAGAACGGGTGCGGTCGATCGAGTCGGGGGGTAAGGCTGGGTGCAGCAGTTGATCACCTCTCCGATGGTGCCGGCTGACATCAGAGTCTGGAACTCCGAACTCGGCTCCCTGCCAGGCCGCCACGGATTCCATCAAACGAGTCGTCACGGTCTGCTGCCTCTCCTGCTTGCCACTTCTCAGCGTTGAAGTGCTTGAGCCGCTCGGCGCCGCATCGTCTACCAAGGCCACTGCCGACACGAACATACGCCAGACGCGCTCGGTGTCGTCGAGGCCATACAGCAGGTAGATGGCACCCAAGATGGCCTCGGCTTGTATATCGTAAGAGTCCGAAAGCACAACATCATCCATGCCAGTGGCCTTGAGATACTGTTGACACGCTTCCCGTGACTCCAGGTCCTGCATGGCGCTCGCCATCGGACCCACATCCATGACGCTGTCCTCGAGTGAGAACAGCTGCATCCGACCCATAAGGGTGAGCACCGTGTCGCCGATAAATGCCAGCCGCTTGAACGGTGTGTCGCTCTTGTTCGACGCGATGGCCGTGGCAATGACCGCGTTCAGCCACTCGTAGCTGGCGGGCATGCTCAAGACAGCCACCGTGTCATGAACCCGCTTGCGGACCCCGTACATCCGCAAGTGCTTGCACCCCATGGCCACCGCTTGGTCGATGGCGGCGCCGCAATCTGTCGATACCAGAAACTGAACCAAGCTTGTCACATTGCCCTTGACGCAGCTGTTGTCGTCATTGGCATCGTCGTCCGCCGGCACAGCCTCCAGACACTCGCGTCCAAGAACGGCCCAAGAAGAGGACACATCACCCCTGTCAACAACCTCGAGAGGATACGCCCAGAGGTGCTTCTTGTTTGACCGGTGCCACCAAAACGTGACCGATCGCGTCTTCTCGAGCTCTGCGCGGCCCTTGAAGCGGCGCATCAGCTCACCCCCGGCGCGAGACGCCTTGCCCGACGACTGGTCCTCCTCGACAAACTTGGCGGGCACGATCCACTCCTCGGCAACAGTGGGCCTGCGGGCGTAGGCGGACTCGTGGTAGTGGATGGGGCGGGCTGGGAGACACAGCATACAATCATTACCATCCGCATCAATGTACACGAGCTCGCTCGGGCTGCCCCGCCCGCGCAGCATCCCGAGCCCCTCGACCGAGTACTTGGCTGTGTCCGAGACCGCTACATCCGACGCCGCGTACAGCGCCTGCAGGAGCCGCACTGTTATCTTGTCCTGGCCAACCACTACAATCAAGCGCGCCCGATTCAAGTCGACCCCGCGGCGGCTGCTTGTGTAGATGATACAGGACTTGAACTCGCTGTGGCTACTGACCATGACGTTCTTGCCATCCATGAGCTTCTCCAGCTTGGCCGACACAAGTAGTCCAGGACCATCGCAGGCTCGTCGCCGCGCGCCACCATCGGCAACAGGGCACGACCCAGTTTGGACGAGGTGCGTGGCGAGTCAAGCCCGATGGCAACCTTGGCACCAGCTAGCAGCGGCATGGGATCGCCACTGGCTTCTGTGGTTGTCCGTGTCTGCGAAGTACACGTGTTGGCCACGCTCGGATAGTGTGTGAAGGAGACGATGGCCTCGGCAAACTTGATCACATCCTCGTCGGAAGGGCTGCTGGGGAAGTGGGCGTTGTGCCAACTCACGTCTGCGCACACCTGAAGGACGCCCTCCTACCCAGCCTCGATCGCGTAAAAGCATCCAGCTCTGCTTGCTACGCTAACATGCCTTACCTTGCCGAAGCGACCGAGAATGTGCCTGATCCTATGGCCCTCGTGGCCGTTTTCAGCAACGCCCAGCCCGAGTTGGACATCTGGAAGAAGCTCGTCTCTGACCTCGCCCGCTTGGGAGCGACAGTGTTGGCGGACGCGCTACCAAAAGATAGGTACGACAACAAGTTGGCACTGGTGATCAACCCAAACGATGTCTTGTCAACGCTCTCTATTGCTGCTCTGTACGGTTACGCCGAAGTCGCCTTGGAGATCTTCGACAGTAGCGATTCTGCGATCTCTCGCGCCCCTGGTGACTTGAAGAAGTTGTTCTCTTGTGCTGCCGCTGCAGGCAACGTTACTCTGATGGAATTAGTCCTGCACCACGCTGGTGTATGCAGCGACACACAACAGCGTGGTGCGATGCTTCGCGCTGCTGCGTTGTATGGTTACAAGGAGACTGTTGAGATCCTCCTTACCGACAACGAAGTCGGCTCAGGTGACGTTTTTGACTTGAACTTTGCTCTCTGGGCTGCAGCAGCCAACGGCCACGCCGAGGTCGTCCTCCTCTTCCTCATCTTCCAGGAGTTCGGGGACTGGGATGGCGCCATCATCTCGGCTTCGAGAAACGGTCACGCTCGCGTTGTCGCGCTTTTCCTTGTTGATGGCCGCCAATCCGGGTGCCAGACACAACGAGGCCATCCGCGCCGCAGCGGAGCACGGTCACGTTGGCGAGCTTCCCGCCTTCTTAGCATCCGCCGGATCGACCTGGTTGCGCACCTGAAGGTCGATCTTGTGGTGGCGGAACCGTGTCGCCCGAATCGTTGCCAGATTCTTGTCTTTGGCCATGTAAACAAACTCGATGTCCTCCCAGATCTCCTTGTTGAGTGGATACACAACATCGTTTTCCATCGTCGCCTTCGCGTTGAGCAAGCACGCTGAGTACGTCGAGTGCGACTGCATGAATCCGTTGTTGCCAATCCACAACTTCACAGCGCCCACCATCCCACGCAGAATACCATACACGGCGGTCTTGGACCACCAATCATGTGCCAGATCGGAAGCCGTGGTCTCGACAGACCCACCAAATCTATCGTCGCGTTGCACGACGAGTGTACCGTTGTCGCCTTCCTCCGGAGCCGTCGAGTTCCACATGTACTCGAGCACGGCGCGGAAGTAGACGCGCCGGAAGCGACAGCGCACGTTCCCGCCGTGCTTCTCGGCAAGCGGCTCGTCCAGCGTGTTGTCCTCACTCAGCGCATGGAGCTCAAACATGTCTTCGACGCCCACGATAGCCACGCGCGACACGATCGTACGCTACGACGACGACGAGGCAGCACGCACCAGCTCCTGTGGCCAGTCGAGTGAGAACAGCTTCCAGCCAAAGGGCAGAGAAAAGACGGTAAAGAAGAGGATCGGACTCATATGCAGCATGGCAGTGTGGAGATGGAGCGGCTCGCCGCACACAACGTGGACAAAGTAGACGGTAGCGAGGGCAGTGGCCACGATCTTGAGCAAGGAGAAGACGAGCCAGAAGCGGATAGACTCGATCTTGGACTGCGGAGAGGAAAAGAGATGCCACGGAGCTTCAGAGCAGCGATTCGCAGCATACTCCCGCCACTGACCATGACCCCAGATGCGCAAGAAGATGCACTCGATGGGCAAGCCCAGGGTGAGGATGAGGGCCCAGGGCGTGACGGGGAAGGCCGGGAAGGAGAGGATGAGGTAGATGATGAGCTGAAAGTGGGCATCTTCAAAGAGACACCGCATGCATCTCATAACAGCAAAAGCTTGATCAGTAGCCACCTGATCGCCTTGATAGCCCTGCACCATGACGATGGACGAGTTCTGCTGGTTGTCCGACCACAGCCGAGTCGACCACCTCTTCCCGTCATCGGTCACGGAGATCTCCTCCAACATGGGAAACTGTGGATATAGACGACCATAGAGGAAGCCCATGCCATATCCATGGGCAATCATGAGTATCATGCCATGGATGATGGTGACCATGATGATGATGGTGGCAGCAGGAGGTGATTGCCACCAATGACGACTGTGCCATGCTATGGCAATGACTGCCAAAGGCAGGAGGGAGGCCGCCAGATGAGTCACAGCCACCACACTCCGTACAACGCCATACTCGCCGCTTTGCCCACGGCTGCCGAGCATGTGCTCGAACTGTTGCTGCACTCCCATGGGATAGAGTGAGATGATGGCGTAGACGGACCGCGTGGCCTGACTCGTCCTGGCCTCGGACCGAGCTGACACTGGCGAGGACTTGCCGAAGATGCGGGCGACGGCGTGATGGAGGCCGCTGGTGGCGATGATGCCATCAAACGGTTGGACGCTCCAACACTCTCGCTTGCTGCCCGAGTCGTTGCATAGCTCGCGTTTACTGCGCTGGTCTCCACTGCTCGCGCAAAATCGTACCCACCGGCATGGTGACCCATGTGTACATGAGCTGCAGCCGCGCGCTTGTGTACACCCGAGATCAGGGTCGTCGTCGTCGCATGTCGTCATCAAACGGGTGGCGTGGGTGGCATCCCGCTCCTCCGGAGCCGATTGTGTTGATGCCATCAGAGCTCTTGGCAAAGGAAGGCGCTTGCCGCTTCGCTTTGCTCAGCCGGCCGCGCGTGGTAGCGACTAACAGTAGTCGCGGCAGTGGTCGAATGATGGTGGCGATGAGAGCCATGGGAGCCATGGGAGTGACAGGGGCGAGGGTTTGGTGGTGGCGGTGACGGTGACGGGGGCGGTGGTAAATAACGGGATCACGCCGCCGTCTCGCCGACGGGGACGGCGCACATGACTCACTCGCGCAGGGCATCAGCATGCGGAAAGTACCTCGCAAACAGCTCGACGCCCTCGCGATGCTCCGGGTCGAGCGCGAGAGCCGCCCGCAGGTCATCGCGCAGCCGCGCCAGGTCGTGCGACTGGATGAAGGCCCGCGCGCGGTGAACGTAGTAATCGGCGACCGGCGCGAGCTTGATTGCCTGCGAGAACTCGAGCACCGCGTGCTCGTAGTTGCCGCGCACAAACTCGGTTGAGCCCAGCTGGTCGTGGCAGACCGAAAGCCGCAGGTCGAGCTGGTGCTTTTGCTCTGTCGAGCTGGTGTCACGGAGCCCGGCGAGCAGCTCATGGGCTGAGTGATAGTCGGCAATGGCCAGCTCGAGCTTGCCCGAGTCGCGGCGCGCGTCACCGCGGTTGATGTAAAACGCGGCCGTTGCCGGCGCGGTCTTGATCGCGTTGTTGAACGCGCGGATGGCGGCGAGATGGTCACCGGTGAGGTACGCCGCCACACCGAGGTCGTTGTGGACGAGCGCGTAGTACGTCTCGCGAGTTTTCCGCTGCACGGCTGTCATTTTGCTGCTCTGTGCGAGCGAGTCGAGCAGCGCCAGGGCCGTCTCGTGCTCGCCCTGCTGGCGCGCCAAGGAGCACTCGCGCAGGATGAGGGCCGGATCGTCGGGCGCGAGCTCGCGCGCACGTGCCAGCGACGTCGCCGCCTCCTCCATCTCGCCGTTGAGCTGCTTGTGAGCAGCTTCGACCCGGTACGTGGCTTGGAGCGTGTCCCACTGCCGCGAGAGTGCAAGTCCGATCCTGTGCCGCGGCGAGAGTCGCAGCAGCCGGATAACATCCAAGTGGGCCTCGCGGAGCCGGCGCATGTTGTGCAGCAGCGTCGCCCGCATGGCCAGCGCCGCGAGCTTGGTCTCCGACCCGCTCCCTTCCGACTCGACCTTGTCCACAATCTGCGTGAGGACCACCAGCGCTGCCTCTTGCGCGCCAAGCGCCAGATACGCCGCAGCCTTGTGGATGGCCATGCCTGCAGCCTCGGGCTTGAGCTCGCACGCAGCCTCCAGCCACCGGGCGGCGCCCTCCGCGTCGCCCTCCTTCAACAGCCGCACGCCCTCGGTGTACCGCACATCTGCCTCGCGATCGCGCGCGCGTCGCCCGAGCATGTACTCGTCGTCCTTGGTGCACTCTTGAGCGAGCGCAAACGACGCCGCCGCCGCGCCGACGTCGCCCAGCAGCTCCAGCAACGCCCCGCGCTCAAAGTGCAGTCTCGCGCTCCTTGGCGCCACAAACAAGGCCCGGGTGAGGATGACCAGCGCAGACTCTGGCTGCAGCGCGGCCATGGCATGCGCAGCCTCCTCCAACCTCTCCTCCACAGCTGCCGAGACCGTTGCATTGGCGCTTTGCCGCTTCCCGCTCAGCCCCGAGTTTGACAGCGACGCCGACAGAAAAGCAGAGGTCGACGCCGACGTTGACGACGATGACGATGAGCCACCTGACCGAGCTGATCTTGCGAGTCCTGACGGCTGCCGAGCGGCCGCCGAGCCCATCGATCGTGCCAATCCCTGCCGACCGGCCGCCGAGCCCGTTGGTCGCGCTAATCCCTGCCGACCGGCCGTCGAGCCCATTGATCGCGCCAATCCCTGCCGAATCGGTCCCCGTCGCCTCGCCTGTTTCCCCGGACCGGGCCGACCAGTCTGACCCGCCGCCGCCGTCGCCGCCGCCCTCTTCGATGCAGGCTTCATGCCCTACCACCACCCAGAAGACGAGCTCGACAAACGTTTTCAAAGAAGCAGCCCGTTGACTGTGTGGTAGCTGGTCGCGACGTGGGCTACGGCTGTGCTTAGCGGCGCTAGACAGGTGTACGACTTGGTGGGTGGTGCGAGTACGGAGGGGCGGGGCATGAAGGGCTCGCTGGGGGTAGGTATGGGCATTATGTGGGAGACTGTCACATTAGGAAGGAAATTATTTAGTTAGAGTGTATGGACATGTGAGTGGGGATGAAAGGGAAGGGGGATGGTGGAGGAATGGTGGTCTGGTCACGAGGAGAGGGACCAACAGGGACAGGTCATGGAGGCCTTGTCGGGGGTAGGTATGGGCATTACGGGGACACATTCATCTTGATTTTTTGTCTATCTCCCTTCCTCCCTCTCTCCCCTCTCCCCTTGTCATGAACGGAAGTGAACGTGGTCGACAGCTGGAAAAGCTGCTGCTTAGCGGACGGACACCGTCGTTCTCGTCGATTCTCGCCCCACATACCTCGCTTGTCCGTGTCGACGAGGACGGTGGGGAGGTTGTCTTTGATCTGGTTGTGGGAAAGGAGATTACCAACATCAACGGATTTCTACATGGTGGGGCAGCTGCTACTGCTGTGGATGTACTCTCGACCATTGCCCTGGTTGCACTCGCTCCCGAGAAGACCACGACTGGAGGCGTCTCCATCGAGATCCACACCCAGTACACAGGCGCAGCCCCCAAGGGCGCCACCATCACCGTCACTGCCTCTGCCCGATCCGTCGGCTCGCGCATCGCCTTTCTTGATGTTGACGCCAGAGATGCCGTCTCAGGCAAATCGTACTTTACCGGCCAGCACATCAAGTTCATCGGCAGCAACCCCAAGATCAAGTCCAAGCTCTGACTGCCCACCTCTGTCCCGCTGCCGTCCCTTGGCCGCCGTCATGGTGATCCTCGTCATCATCATGGTCAACCCCATCGTCATGGTGATCCTCGTCATCATCATGGTCGCCCCCATCATCATGGTCACCCCCATCATCATGGTCACCCCCATCATCATGGTCACCCCCACCACCCCCATGGTCACCCCCATCATCATGATCACCCCCACCACCCCCATGGTCACCCCCACCACCATGATCACCCCCACCACCCCCATGGTCACCCCCACCACCATGGTCACCCCCATCATCCCCCCCCCCCTCCTACCAAATTCCCCGCCAACTCTCCCGCCAAACCGCCCGCCATTTGGCGCGACACGACCCGCCCCCTCCCCCCCCCCCCCCCCACCCACACACACACCCCACTCCACCATGAGCGGAGGCAAGAACAAAGGCACTCCTCCGGGAGTCACCGTGACGCACCCGTATGTGCAACTTGCACTCGGAGCCACAGCAGCTGTACTTGCCGTCGTCGGCGTGGCATGGACCTGGCGGCGACTCTCTTCCTCCTCTGACTCTCGTCCATCACCACGGGCACGATCTGCTGCTGCCACCAAGGCCACCACCATGACCATTACTTCCGATACTGACACTGTTGCTGCTGACACTACTGCTGCTGCTGCTGCTGCTGCTGCTGACTCTGCTGCTGCTGCTGCTACTGATGATGATGATGTTGGTGCCGAGTCGCGGAAGTGTGCTCTGTGTGGCGATACTCGTGCTCGCCTTCATTGCGCCTGTCGGACGGCAAGGTACTGCTCCAAGGAACATCAGACGGCAGATTGGGCCAATCATGCCGATGCCTGTCGTAGGGCGCGGGGTCTGCCGCCAAAGGGCAAGGGCAAGGGCAAGAAGAAGAAGAAGAAGACAAAGTCACGCACAGACTCGCCAAAGTCGCTCGATCTGTCAGGTCTTCCTGGTGATCAAGGCTGGCCTGCTGCCGATGCCGACGCCGCTACTACGCTGCCTGACGACTATCCTCCGCTGGTCGACGGCCCGCGGGCGCTCGCTCGCAAGCACCTCACACCATTGGTGTGGTCCGCGCTCGGGAGCGAGGTGACGCCCGAGGGCGACTCCATCTCCCGCATGCTCCGCCCGGTCCTTGCAGACCCGAGCCGGACACCCGGCATCTACGTTGGTGCTGCCTCGTCGTACAGCGCCTTTGCTGCCTTTCTCCGCCCGCTCGTCGCCGAGTTTCACGGCGTCGAGCCCGGCGCTCTCGCTCCCGACGTCGACGCGTGGGAGACCGCCGAGCTCGCCAAGATGAACCACGTGGAGAACCCCATGGTGAAGCGGATCCAGCTCTCTGCCGTCCGCAACTACGCCGACCTCCCGTTCTCGCCGCTCGCCACCGCTGCGTCGCGCGCAGACGTCCTCGCCCGTGCTGTCGAGGCTCTCGGCAGCGGCTGGTCGTTTGAGGCTGTGCCGCTGCCGGACGCCGTCTCCGACGACTGGGCCACCCTCGCCGCCGACGCCCTCATCCCCGGCGGCTACCTCCCGCCCCAGCAAACTGTCGGCATGGACGAAGGGTACCCGGACGGCCGCGCCGTCTTTTTCGGCACCGACCGCCACGCCGCCGAGACCGCCGTCGTCTGGGTCAACCATGAGGACCACATCCTCGTTGTCGTCCGCCGGACCGACGGCGACCTCGTCGCCGCCACCAACTCTATCCACGCTATCCTCGACCTGCTCTCGCACGCGCACGCCTTTGCTCGCGACGACAATGTCGGCTACCTCGCCACCTCGCCGGCCCAGGTTGGCACCGGCCTCTCCGTCGGCGCCTGGGTCCAGGTCAACGAGCTCGACCGCAAGGCTGTCAAGGCCATATGCGCCAAGTTTGCCTGCCGCGCCCGCAAGCTCGCCGCGCAAGCCAAGGACGAGCCCGGCACCTCGCTCTATGCTGTCTCCAACAGGACTCGCCTCGGCTTCTCGCCGGCCACCTACGTCCTCACCGTCTCTTGCGTCGTCGCCGAGCTCGTCACCACCGACGCCATGACCGCCTTTATGACCTCGGGCGACGCCTCGGCCCTCACACAAAGCTAACACGCATCTAATCTGTAAAAGCTGCACTGCGTGGCCATGTTCATTTCATCACGCCCGGTCGCTGCCCATTGCTGCAGCCAGCCGAGCCAGGTCCGCTGCGCTCAGCGCCGGGTTCTCGTCGAGGACCACGGTCTCGAGCGGGAGGCCCGCAGGCAGAGCCTCGACAGCCTGGATGAGGTCGTCAAGGCCAGCCTTTTCGATGTGGTTGTCAGTGAGGTCGATGCTGATGAGCTGCGTCGAGTTGGCAAGGGCGCGAGCAATAGGCCGGACGCCGAGCGAGCGGAGCTGGTTGTGGGCGAGCGAGATGTGGGCCAGCGCCTTGGCCGACTCAACCACCTGCGAGATGACGTTGCCCACAAAGCCCATAAAGTTGTTGTGTGAAAAGTCAAGCGTCCTGAGCGTCTGCGACTTGCCGAGCTTGGCGCAGAGCGAAATGATGCCCTTGGAGTACGAGTCGTTGCCCGAGAAGACGACCGACTCGATGACCGGCGAGGAGATGATGAGCGAGCCGAGGACAAGACCGTCGTGCTCGTGGAAGATGGTCTCATGAACCTCGATACCAACCAGCGTCTTTGCCATCTTGTTGGTCAGCAGCCGGCCAGTGTGCTGCACATTGCGGAGGACAATCTTGGAGACGTTGGCCGACTCGAGGAGGGCGACCAGCTCTCCCCTGAGGACTTCGACCTGAGGAGAGGCCTCTGCCACCTTTGGCGAAAAGTCCCAACCATCCAACTCGACCACCACCTTCTCTGCCAGCCTCTCCTTCACCTCCCTCACCACCACCAGCGCCGCCTCGACACCACCATCACTCTCCTTGACCACCACCTCCTCCACCGGATCATCCGAGCGACCAGTACCAGCACCCGCACCAGCACCAGTACCAGCACCAGCACCAGCACCAGCACCAGCACCAGCACCATCCGTCACCGAACCCGCTCCCTGTCCACTGATCGACCTGCCCTCGCCACGATCACCACCACCACGACCACCATCACCACGACCACCACCACCACGACCACCACCACGACCACCACCACCATCACCACCACCATCACCACTGCTGCTGCTGCCGAGCTTCCGCACCACCAACCACAGCTATAATCCCATACCCATGGGAAGGGGGTATATGGTATATGTACATGAGTGTGAGTATGGTAGGGGGGGGAGGGGGGGGGAGGGGGAGGGGGGGGGGTGACTACCATGTCGCCATTTGGAACACAACGGCTGAGGACAGGACAGGTGACCTGACCTGGGGGGGGAGGGGGGGGGGGGGGGGAGGGGGGGGATGGCAGTGGGTA